ATAGAAAAAGAAGTTAAAAATAGAATGCTACAGTCATTTTTTGAAGCCACAGAGGATCCCACTCTGTTGTATAGACATTAGAGCCAGAAAAAGACTTTGAAGTGACCAGTGAAGCTCCTTGTCTCACAGACAGGGTGAGGGAGGGACAGAGGGGAATTGTGTGTCCAAGCATACTTGGGATGGTGTAGGTGGCTGATAAGAGTGTCGGTGGAGGTGGCGGTTAGCGTTTGGAGTGCCCCAACCTTGTGACACTAAACATTTATTGTTATACTAACCCCACTGCCCACTATCAGGAGGTTTTAACTTTTCTTACTGTGTCCTAGTCTCCATGGCGCCCATATACTGTTCTCCCCATGTCCCAGCATCGTTCCTCTCCCACAGTTGATGTGTGGCTCTGTGCCATGGGTGCAGGCCTGCCTCTTCTCTCTCAGAATGACCGCTGTTTCATGCTTGGTGAGCCACATGGTGTGCCGAGCTGCCATCTCTGACCTGGAGAAAGGATACCCTTACTATCACAGGTGGGGCATGTCATGGGACAGCCTTCCTGGTTTTCCTTGGCAGAGAGATTTTTCTCATTTTTTTTCTCTCCTCCCTTCTCTTTTTCTCTCCCTCTTAGATTTCTTCTCTTTTCCTTTTCTTTCTCTTGCCTCGCTTCTGCCTTAGATCTACCATGGGACCCAGGGAGCTTTGGATCCAAAGAGGTAGCCTACCCTGAAGATCAGTGAAAGCACATGTGTTCACTCAATAGCTGGCACTCACTAAGCTTTTCATACAACCCCACAGTGTGAGCTTTTTACACGTGCTATCTCTTTTAATCTTCACAATTCTTTACCTATCAGGCATTACCATCATTATCTGCATCTTACAGGTGAGAAAGAGAGGCTCATGCAGATTAAGAAACTTGCTCAGGACCACACAGGCTGTACATGCAGAGTAAGGGCATTCTCACGCCAAAATTCATTTTTAGAGCCAAAAGCATACCATGTGTCAGGTGAAGCAGCCTGGATCTCTTGTCTGTTTGGCTTTTAACTCATGCTGGCTTGAACTTTCTGGATTTGAGTAACTCTCAGGCCTGTGGAGCCCGGTTTCTGTGACTGGATTTGGCCAGCCACATCTGGGGAGGTGAACCCTTGCTGGGGGCTTTTGGGAGGTTCACTTTCTTCTCAGCCATACCCATTGTAGTAGTTTCTTGGGTCCGCCTTAACAAAATACCACACACTAGGAAACTTACAACAGAAGTTTATACTCTCATAGGTCTGGAGGCAGAAATCTGAATTCAAGGCAAGGGCAGAGTTAGTGTTTTCTGGAGGCTCTGAAAAAGAAACCATCCTCAGTGTTGGAATTCACTTGGGGTGGTTGGCAAAACATTAAAGATATATTGGGAAAAGTTACAGATTAGCCTCACATCTTTTGGAAGGCCGAAAGGTTTTATCTGGGCAGGCCAGAGGCGGCTGGCCGGTCCGTCAAGTTAGGGAGAAGATAGAGAAGAGGCTTTCCCCAGCTTAAGTCTGTTTACCCCACATCTCTTTGTCTCTACTCTGTTTACTCATGTTAACTTTGTGCTGGATGGCTCTCTCCAGGGAGGATCAAAAGGGAATTACCTGTTAATAGTATTTTCTCTGGGCCCCGAAACTAAAGCTTTTATCATTTGTAAAACCACTCTTTTAACCATGTTAATTATCTACAAGTGTGTTGACTTAGAACCTCTGTTATGAATAAATGTGTGGATGTGCATGGGGTCTTGCTGGATTGCTTGCATTTTGTCTTCTGAAAGCAGCCTACGGCCACCCCTAGCCCACTTGTATCACCGTAATGGTGTGAGAGTGCATTCATTCATCTGTCATTGAGTCAGGTCTGCAGGTCAGACTTCCACAGGTGGTGGGCGACGTCTCACACCTCCCCATCTTCTGGTGGCTCCCAGCAATCCTTGGTGCTCTTTGGCTCCCAGTTGCATCCCTCTGGTCTCGGCTTCCTTGGTTATGTGGCATTCTTCCTATGTGTCTCTGCGTCTCCAATCTCCTCCTCCATATGAAGACACCAGTCATTGGATTTAGGGCCCACACAGATCCTGAATAAAAAAATGTTAAAAAATTTTATTTGGAAATAATTATAGATTCACAGGAAGTAGCAAAGACAGAATATAAAACACAGAGGTCTGATGTGCCCTGCACCCAGCTTCTCCTGATGGTTACTTCTTATGTAATTATAGTACAATATTAAAACCAAGAATTTGACATTGACAAAATAAGTGTATACAGTTCTATGTCATTTTATCACATGTCTAGATGTCTATAACTACCACTGCCATCAAGATACAGAATTATCCCGTGATCACAAAGATCTCCCTTTATATTCTCATCTGCTCTCCTTTCTCTACCACCCTAACCCCTGGCAACCCAAATCTGTCCTCCATCCCGATAATTTTGTCACTTCAACAATGTTACATAGAAGAAATCACATGGTATGTGACCCTTTGAAACTGGCTTTTTTTCACCCAGTAGAATGTCCTTCGGAATCACTCCAGTTGTTCTCTGTATCAATACTTCATTCCTCTTCATTGTCTCATAGTATTCTACGGTATGGATATATTACAATTTGTTTGGCCAGTTGCCTGTTGAGGGATGGGTTGGCTATTTCCAGCTTTGGCCTAGAACAAATAAAGCTGCTGTGAATAATCATGTATGGGTTTCTGTGGGGACGTAAGTTTTTATTTCTTGGGGGCAAATTCCCAAGGATTACAATTCTTGGGTCATATGGTAGGTGTCTTTTGTTTAGTTTTTCAAGAAACTGACAACAATTTTCTAGAGTAGCTATACACTTTTATATTCCCACCAGTAATATATGAATGATTCATTTTCACTGCATCCTCATGAACATTTCAGTATGACATAGTTTTGACTTGATTACCTCTAAAAAGGCCCTATTTCCAAATAAAGTCACATTTATGGGTACCAAGAGTTAGGAGCTGCGCATACCTTTTTGAAGTATACAATTCTACCTGCAGCACCTGTCTTCACTTGTTTGGGTTATGGTTAGGTCTCGCTTCAGAGTGTTGCCTTCTGAGAAGAAGGTTTGAATTCATAACTGGATTATGCCTGCCTTTGATTGTTCAATTTGGCCCCCAGGGATGAGTGAACACGTTCATGTCATTTGAAGGGACATCACTGGGTCTTTCTGACCCCTACTCAAACCTCCAAAGTTTCCAAGATTTGATAATCATCAACATTCTCAAGAGGCAGGAAGGCAAGGTGCTTCCTTATGCAGTTTTTCTATGACTGGCCTTCCCTACTGTCCCAGTACTGACAGGGGAAAGGAAAGCACTGCAAGACAAAGGGATTGCCAGTCAGTTGAGGGAAGGGATGCTGTGTTAATTACTTCTGAACACTCTTCAGAGTGTAGGTGGAGAGAGGTGCTTAGTAAGGTGTGTTGGATGGATGAGTGGCTGAGAGGGGCAGGGCCAGAGTGCCCCACAGAATGAGGAAGAGTCAAGGTTGGTATTACATGTGCCCCTCCCCCTTCCCAAACATGTGAACATTCATACATGGGTTTTCGATATCTGGGCAGGGTTAACTCTGTTCTCTGTTGCCTTGCTGAAGGTCTGTTTCATTCCATTTCTATGTACGTGTGCTCCTAGTTAGTCAAACAGGGCAGAGATGTCAAAAAAAGAGCAGGTCTGTTGTTTTGTCTAGCACCTTGAGCCCTGGAAGGCAGCCTCATTCAGGGCTCAAGAGGGCAGGGTTAGGCAGGCAGCTATTGGATCCCAAGCCCCCACTTACCAGCTATGTGGTCTTGACGTATTACTTATTTCTCTCCACCTCTTCTATCTATTAACTGGGCATAAGATGTTCTTTATATGAAGTTATTTTGAAGCATAATGTGTATATAGAACAATGCAGAGATCATAACTGTACAACCCCACAATGAGGAACAGAACATTACGAAGACCCCAGAAGCCCCTTCTTGTCTTCTCCCAGGTATTACCTCACCCTACCTCCAGCTAAGAGTAATTTCCAACCAAATTTCTGATTTTATTTTTACCTGGTTTTGAACTTTATATGGATGAAAATATCCAGAACATATCTTTTGCTTTGAGTTTCTCTTACGTAACACCATGTTTATGAGATTCATCTGTGTGAGTAGGTATAGCTGTAGTTTGTTAATTCTCCTTATTGGGTATTCTAATGTATAAACACACCACAGTTTAATGTTTAACTACCCATTCAATTGTTGGACATTTGGGCTATTTCCAACTTTTGGACATTTGGCTTTCGTAAATAAAGCTGCTTTGAACATTCTTGCATAGTTTTTGTGGGTGGGGACACTCAGTCATCTAGGAGTGGGATTGCTGAGTTACAGAATATATTTATCTCTCAGTTTTATAGAACATTTGCAACATTTTAATGAATGTTATTAACCTCACAGTATAGTGTGGATTAAATTAGGTTGTGGAAAATACTCAATAAGGCCCTTGGCAGACAGGTGTCTGTCAGTACATGTTTAAAAGTGTAAATAAGGCACAACATTCCATTAAGTCTAAGTACCATCAGGGACTTAAACAATTCCCTATTGTTTGTTCATTTAGGTTGCTTTTATCGTGGTGTTGTTTTCTATCGTGATGCAATGAATGATTTTCTTTATGGCAGTTTTCTTCTTTTGAAAATTTACTTTGGTAGATTCTCAGGGAAGATTGAATGGAATCAAAGGATATATGACTGTAAGAACTGTCATTGTTAAAAAGGACTTTGAGGACTTGCTGAAGAGGGGAAAGCAAGAAGAAAGTCTCTCCTACCATGGCTTAGGGGACCGAGATGTGAGGACAGGAGGCTTGTGGGTTTGAGGGAAGAGTGTCTTACAGAGGATGATATGGTAACATAGAATGAAAGATAATTTTTCTAAATGGTGGTATGCCTTAGGACAACTACATATTTAGTCCCTTATAAGAGAAATCGAGTAGTTGGAAAAACAATGGATAATAACCATTAAATGAAGAAAGAGAAACCACATGTGCAAAGATTCACTTTATTTATTCTTTCTCCTCCAATATTAGCATCATTAAAGCCAAGAAGGAGGAGGGGAATGAGGTGAAAGATGAGCTGGAGGACAGCAATAGGGGTAGGTCCCTTGTGGGAAAAGGGCCAGAGGCCAAAGGATGGGAGGGGGAGAGGCTGGGACTGAGGAACAGGTGGTGGGCCTGGAGCACCTCTCCCTCTAACACTCTCCTTTACGGAAGCTCTTCGTGAGGGGCGAGCTCAAGCCTTGATGGGTGACCTCACAGGCGTAGACGTTGTGCCTCTGGTATTCTGTGCTGCTCAGCGTCAGGGTGCTGCTGAGGCTGTAGGTGTTGTCCTTGCTGTCCTGCTCTGTGACACTCTCCTGGACGTTACTCGACTGGACGACGTCATCCACCTTCCACTTTACACTGACTTCTCTGGGATAGAAGCCATTCAGCATGCACACAACAGAGGCAGTTCCAGATTTCACCTGCTCCTCAGATGGCTGGAAGATGAAGACAGATGGCACAGCCACATCTCCTGAGGAAAGAAGCGAACAGGATGGTGTTTAAACAACAAAAGTCTGCACTTGGGTGTGTTTTTTGAGATAATCACAGAGCATGTTAGGGACAGACAGAAAACAGCATGCTTATCCTGGATAATTATAGCAATGAGGCCAGGAAGCATATTTAAAATATTGATTTTGAGTTTCTTCCTAGCTTCCCCCTCTTCCTTAAGAAAGTTCTAAATCGTTTTGGTGGAGCTCTCTGCAGCTGTTCCGAGGCCTCTGCATGCTTTTCTGATCTTACCTTTCTTTCATTTCAGCTGCCTCTTGCAGTAAACTCAATGCTTTAAGCAAAGAGAGGCCATGTCATCTGACCCCCTCAGAGTTTAGAAGTCAGAACAGGTCTGAAGAAGACCCGGCAGCGGCTGAGTCAAGGAAAGCCTCTGTTTGCTTTTATTTCCCCTGTGCCTCCTCTAGGACTACGATGAGATAGCAAGCCCCCAGGGGTTCCTTCGGCTGGGCTGCGCTAAAACCTCCCTGTAGAGCAGGTCCTGAGCCCGGCCTCTGTGCCTTGGTGGTGCCAGCCTCTCCACCTTCTGACTGTGCCAGCAACTCTCTAAGCCCTCCCTAAGGCCTCAAGGCCTGTAACCATATGTGGCAATTTTCAGCCGTGCCAGGAGAGGTCAACTGTAATCTTGGCCACCTGCTTAAGAGGAAATGGCTAGCTTCACTTCTGACCCTCAGCAACTGCCAGATGGCCTCTTGGAAATCCCCCTCCACGGGGATTCCAGCCACTGAGTGGGAGAGCAGCAGTTAAAATGAAAAATAAGAATCTTTTGCCAGGAGAAGTCAACAGATAGGGAGAAGTCAACAGATAAGAGGAATAGCTTTTTTTTTTTTTAAGCTAAATTCACTGTTAGCCAAGCAGTTTAACATGAAAGACTGAATGAACTTTTATGTTTGATATTTTCTTGTCTTTTAACTTTTTTTACTATTTTTTTTCCAGATAATTGTATAAAATAACCATGGTAGTAAAATAATGTGATCATTAGAATATAGGCAGGGAAAAACATGCTGTGAAGATACTCCTATCTTGGTGAATTCTTGATAGCTTCACATTTTTCATCTGGCATTTAAACATTAAACAACTAATGTATTTGATACAAAAATTATTTCAAGATATCTTATTTCCTTTTAATAGAGTTTTAAAAGTCTTTAAAAGAGTTTTTAAAAAGCTCTAAAATCATTTTGAAATAGTTTAAGACAGTTAGATAGTTCTGAATCGTTGTAAGCTAGTTTTAACAGAGCTTTTAAAGGCCCCTAAAATAGTCCAATTGAGTTGTTGCACACCAGAATAATCCTCCTTAAATATCACTTTTGAAATCAGCTGGGATAAACAATGGCAACACAATGACAAATCATTAAACTATTTTAGAGGTTATGAAATTAAAATATTCAGATTAAAATTTTCCTATCACAGAATTAAGGTACTGAAAAATATGTTTTTTATTAATCACATTGCTATAGGTTTAGATATTTTGTACAACTGAAATATAATCATACACGGGCAGTTACATTTTTGAAAATTAAAAACATGGTCCCAAAGATATCTTATTTTTAAATCAGTTAATATACCCTAATGGTATTTAATGCCATCTAATGCCAGATTCAGTCAAAGTGAATTGATCAAGCCCTGAGTGGCCAGGTTATGGGTGTGAATTTTACCCTGAAAGAATTACATATTTGTTTTTTCGGACTGAGCTTTTGTTATTCGAATACATTTGATGAGAGGATATTGAAATAATTAAATAGCACTGAAAAAAAAAAGCTTTAAATTCTTTACAATCCCCTAATGGAAATTTTCACTAATGAGCTATCGTAATGAATGTGACTTTTCTTTCTGAAGTCTCTAATAAGTTAGTCTTTTCACTGGTTTTCCCAGCTTAGTGCCTATTACATTTCTGTTCTCTTTCCGTTAGTGGCATTATTCGTATCACTGTGCGTCAGGAAAGCTGCCTATGGCAGCGCTAATCCAGCAGATGCGGGGTGGCCGTGGCCGTTAGCGGCAAGGCGGCTGCCCCAGGAGCGCGGTGTCACGGCCACCAAAGCCATTCAATCATGAAAGACCGCGGCTCTGTCTACAGCTCGCGGTGCCGTGGCCTTCTTGGCGGAATAAAAATGTAGACAAGTAGTAACAGAGAGTACTAAAAGAACATACTCTTTAAAATCTTATTTTTTTACAGACCCGTGATCATTTAAAAAATGCAAGTATTTACTTTTTTTTGCATTTCAATACTTTTCTTTGAGCTTTTGGAAATAACCACTTTTCCACCATTACAATATGAGATAATTTCATGTTTAATCTAATGTACAAATTGTAGTTTTAAAAAATGAGTGCTCTCTGTGAAGCCCTTATTCACATAGAACCTGTCGTTTTGAGTTTCTTCCTCATGCAGACTCTAAAAACGACATTGCTGCTGATTTTCAAGTAAATTGCCTCTTCTACATGGCAAATAGGTACACTTTACTTTTTCCTAATTTTTCTTAGGGCATGTTATTGATTTTTACAGTTGTCTGACAAAATAATTTATCAAACAAAAGGGAGAAAACAGAATAAGAAATATATTTTTCTACTTTTCTGTATTATACATAATCAGCAACAACCAATACAATATTTGGCAAGAGGGAATAAAAATGAATTTACTTTTGCTCTGTAGAAATTCAAGGGTTCCTTTTTAGTTACACTACTTTTTTTTTTGCTTTGTGTCATTGAGTTTAGAACAATTTAATCTTTTTGTCTCCAAACCCATTTTTGAAGCTGAGTTTAACTTTGGCAATCCATGGTGAATCTGAAATGCCCTCATTTACCCATCTTTACAAAACTCCTATTTAAACCTCTAAAAGTCAATACTGGCAATCAGACCTGAGTTTCAGAAGGCAATAGTGAAAAATTACTTACGTTTAATCTCCATTCGGGTCCCTTGGCCGAAGGTGTTCCACAGTATTAGCTTAATTACTTCCCCCTCAACAAAAATCTCTTTTTGATGTTAGTATCACTAGCCTGACTGATGCAGAGAAAACCTTGCGATTTAGATGCCTCATTTAACTGACTAGCTCTTTGCTGTTCCTTAAGATGAACTAATTTTCAGATCCTTATCTATCTGACTTTTTGAAAGGATCTGGTACTCTTTGGAATTTACCTGAGCTAATCTCTCAAACATAAAAACTCCGCAAACTTACAACCTTATAAGAAAAAGCATTAGAAAAGTGCACTTACGTTTGATCTCCACCTTGGTGCCTTGGCCGAAAGTGAGCCACAGTGATGAATCTTACTCTCTCCCCTCAACAAAAACCTCCCTCGAAGCCAATCATGTGAGATAGGCTGCTCACTCAGAGAAAATCTAGCTATTTCTTTTCCATTTCCCCCATGAATCCAGTGATTTGTCTATTTGCTCAGCTTTTTAAGTTGATTTTCTGGCGCCCCGCTATTTACTTCTAGGTTACCAGGTTTATTTAACCAAAATATCACAAAACTTGCACGATGATTCAATGGCACCAAAATCTCACAAATAATTGAGACAGATGTACTTACGTTTGATTTCCACTTTGGTCCCGGGGCCGAAAGTGAATCACAGTGATTCAACTTAACTTCTCCCCTTACAAAAACCTCCCTAAAAAGTCGGCAAGCCTCCTTCCCTCAATGAAGTTATTTTGATTTAGAAATCTTAAAAATTAGCCACCAGCTAGCCTACTGTGGAACATTTTCCCCTCCTCTGTACCTAACCGGGGAATGAAGTTTGTTAGATCCCTGACATCCAACTAATGAAAATCCACACAAAGAAACACAAAGCAATCCAATTAGAAACAGTGAAGAATCAGCAGAAAAAAGTACTTACGTTTGATGTCCAGCTTGGTCCCTTGGCCGAAAGTGTACACACAATGGTTCCTCTTAACCTCCCTCCTATACAAAAACTCCCTTTCTAACAACTGACCAAGGCTCTGTCCAGAACATGTTATGTTCCCCAGGACATTTTTGAAGCTATCACTTAGACAAGTTATTCTCACCCAATGACTGAATCTTGCTTGCTCTTCATAGAAAATGTACAATCAATTCTCGAGTTTGCCTACAGCTCCATCTCCACATTTTCCCTGAAGGATGTCAGAGTCTGACTGCAGAGTCAGCTTACAGATTACTTCCTAGACACAGGTTACAGAACACACAGACAACCAAGGAAGGAAAGTTTAAAGTCTACTCACGTTTGATATCCAGCTTGGTCCCTTTACCGAACGTCCACCACAGTGAGAGCTCTCCATAGTCTTGCTGTACAAAAACCCTTCTCACCAAAGAGGAACAGAGCCCTGGGTTAGCTGCTGAAGTGCAACTCCCTTTTCTGGCAGGTGTGGAAGCCCTGGGGCTTCTCTGACATAGCGTATGTTTATTTTCTTCGGTGAGATCTAAAATCCAAGAGGAGAATATATTTATGTCTATGGCCTGATGGTTTCTTTCTTTAGCAATTTGCCACCTCCGGACTGCTTATTATTTATTTATTTGTTAGAAAGTAAACTGAGTGTAAATTACAAAGAAAAACAAGCAATTAAAAAATGGCCACTTTTTTTGTGCTTTCTTTTGGGGTGGTCTGGGGAGCCTTTGCAAAGGATAAACTTCATTTAGTGTAATTAGGGAAATCATCAGCTTCTCAGTGAGTAATAATTAAAGTTTGTTGTACTGTTTTAACTTCTCCTTTCCTGCAATGTTATTTTTAAAAAGGTAGACTAAATATATATCAAATTAAGGCTCATAACTTTGAAATACATTTTGAAATGTAACTATGGATGACATATGAAACCAAAGTGAAGATTAATAGGGTAGAAAGTAGACTTGACTTGGTTGGTTTGTCTGTTGTCACAGCACAGGTAGAGCTCAGCTCCTACTGAGCTGAGCCAGGGGCAGGCCATCTTTGGAGCTGTCATGGAGTCCCAGTGTTCCATAGTGGAACACATATGAAGTTCATGGTAACCTCATCAAGAACACTGAAGACCTTTTCAGCGTTTTCATTTGAGCCCAGCTCTCCGTTTTTGCAGTCTTGTATCCCTCTTAGCTGTCCATCTCCACCCCTTCCATACATTACTCCCAACTCCCTAAACTCCTCACAGTTTTTCCATGGCATCCAGCTTTTATAAACACTCCCTCTACTTGGGAACACCTTTGTCCACCTGGATTGGCTTGTGAACAGCTAACTGTCTTTCAAGATTCAACTGAAGAGGGACCTTCTCTCAGATTATTCCTGAGCAGGTGACCTGAATTTACAGAGTACAGAGACAGGTCACTGGGCCTAGAATGCCTACTTATTTTTAATCTGCTTTCAGTTTTTTTCTATCCTACTAAATTATAAGCTATTGGATGTTTTATTTGTCCTGTATTTGGGAGGCTCAATCCAATATATTTATTTAGCAAATGCTTAACAAACGTTTTCAGAATGAATTAAAAAAAACAATAAATAATTGAAAATCAATAATAGATCAGAGATGCATCATAGACCAAAGACTAATACTGACCACTACAATAGTAAGTTTTACAACAGAAATCATAACTATAATTCTAAAGATTAAAGATAGGTTTATTTGATTCTGTCACTTGCAGCTTTGCTAGTTGCCTTGAACAGCAGAATCAGCTGTTGGTCTTAACAGAAGACGAGCGATGAGAGAGATCAAGTTAGAGATGGAGAGAAAACATTGGCAAGTGAAATTTAAATGTGCCAACTAGCTGACCAAGGGCATAGTCCTTTTTTAAAGGGAATATAAAGTGATTTTCTCTGCAGACATACAAGCAATGCCAATCATAAAGGGTGACATTTATTGAGCACTTACTAAGTGCCAGACATTGTACATGGATCATCACATTTAATAATTCCCAAGACTCTATGAACTAGGAACTAATATTATCCCCTACTTTGTAGGTGCAAAAACTTGAGGGCAGAGAGGTCAAGGAACTGGCTTAAGGCAGTAAGTGGCAGAGCTGGGACCTAAATTCAGAGCCCATGTACTTAACTGCACCATATGCAGATTATACTCCACGAGTGAAGTTACCCAACGGAAGTAGCAAGCATGGCAGGGAATGCTGGGTTGGGGGAAGGTAAGAGAAACTCATTAGACTGGGATAAGTGTGCCCAGAGGTATGTATATAAAGACTATGCATGGAAATATTGTTTAAAAGGTGAAAAACTGAAAAATAACTAAAATCCTCGTTAATAGGAGTTTGGTTAAACTATGATAGAGCTTTACAATGTAGCACAAAGCAGACAATAAGAGGAAGATGTAGGTTTCTATACAGTTACGTGGAAGGTGTTTGTGAAAATGCAGGTCACTGAAGAGCATGTGTGGTGAGATATCATGATTCCATCTAAATTGATTATATCTGCATATAAATGCAAGCTGATTTTTAAAGGACACATAAATTGTTCTTGGTAGTTATCTCCTGGGATTGCAGAGGAGGAACAATGACACTTTCTCTTCCTACTCTTCTATATATCAGAGATTATTTAATTTTAAAATGGTTATGTGAATATATTCATTTTATAGTTTTTAGAAATAATAAAACTACTATTTTGAGAAAAAGTAAACTCTGACATTGCTTAGTAGCATTCTCAATATTCCTGTGCAATGCATAAACATAACTTTTTAAATGATATGTACATATACGTGTGAGTTTTCTTCATCTAGTACTTTTCTGTAGTCTTTAAATCAAGACAAAAGCTTTTCTGATTTAGTGTAGGGGATTTGTGTTCCTAAGTGAGCTAATTGAAAATCTAATATAAACAGTGCAACCGAATAGCTATTGTAAAGCAGTATTTTTAACCAACAAAAGATGATTATCCTAAGTACGGTTGTGGCAAAAACGATTTTACTGATCCCATGCAGTGGTGATCTATAGGAATGATTGTCGTGATATTTGCTGTAATGTAAAATGGATCACGAGAAGTGTTTGAGATCCTTAGGATATGTGTGGTTCGTTTTTTGAAAGCAAATGTTGTCTCAGAAGCATCCGTGAGGCTCTGCCAGGATCTACCATTCTACAAAGTATCTATGATGGATGTTGATAAGCTTGATTTGTTGAGGAAAGGCAAAGTGTCAATAAGATAGTCTGAGAGGTTCCTGGATTTCATGTCTAAGAGTGATCGAAATAGAATTTCTTGAGGAGCATTCCAACCAACTCATTACCGAAACTGCTTTACATTGAACCCTCAGCAAAGTTAGATTATCAGAAAAAAAATTCTGAACTGCTGTGGAGGGGAGAGGAAGAAAAGCCATGGAGGGAGGGAGGCAAGGAGCAGAGAGAGAGAAAGGGAGAGAGAGGAGAGAGAGAGAGAGCGCGAGTACACATTTCAGTGCACATCTACACATCATCTTGAACACTACTGATAAGCTATTTTAACAATGTTCCTTAGGTGTAACTTTTCAAGAAACATCATTTTTGCTTTTTATTTGAGATAATTACTAGCCAATTTAGGAAGTTCCCCTCACATCAGTAACATACAGTAAATCACCCAGTATGTCAGGGAACACAATGGCATAATATTGCCTTTTGCAAGATTTGAGGGATGGCAGTTTCCCTACCTGACTTGGGAGTATCTGTGGCGGATATCCATCTTCAAGTCTGTGGTTCTTTCTCTCTCTATACGTATTTGAGCTCAGCAGTCATGATGGAGTCCAGAGCAGGTGATTCTTTTTGCTTTAGCTTGACTCCTCCTTAAGATTGTAACTCTGTCATTTTTACATTTTTTTTTTTTTTGTCAAATGTAAGCTGATATCCGACAAGGAGAGGAGGAAATTCTGTGGTTCACATCCAGTGGTGCTTAGAACATGATTGGTTGTCATTCTTTCCGGAACTTGTCAGGAGTGGATATCTGTCCAGGATCCCCGAGAATCAAGGCTGCCCCGTTAGCCAGGAAGGAGGGAGATAGAGGAGGTCACTTGAGAAAGAGCTGCTTCTTTGCTGCATCAGGGTTGTGTCTGTTTCCTCTCTTATTTGAAGACAGATGTGCTGGCAGAAGCAAAGTCCTCTGTCCAGCCATATGCAAATGAGTGGGCCATAAATATGAAAAGAGATTCTGGTCCCACTCTAGAAAATGTAGATGTTCATCTTGTTTACAAGAGGACAGTAAGGCTGCGGGTGTTTTTTGACTGCCTTCCTTGAGAGAAAGAGAAGAGATAGCAGCAATTGTGTAAGGGTTTACTGGCCTAGGAGGAATTCAGCCATGAAAATGTACATATTCTGTGCTGTGGTTTTTGTTTCATTTTGCAACAGGAATGAATCCCTCAAGCTCTGCCTTAGAGTTCCCTGCCCTCCCCGTCTGCCTACTTGGTACCCAGCCCCTATGTTCTCTTCTCATATTAAGGTGTAGAAACTCAGCATGGGCAATTCCTGTGGTCAGGCTGGCTCTGGATGCAGTTGTAAAGTCAATGAGTTTGGGCTTGGTTCTTCAGACCCCAAAAGCCCTAATAATCCTGGCTGAGGCTAGAGTTCCAAGTCTAAAAGGGAGGATAGGAGGCAGACTGCCCAACAGAAACAACAAATGAACAACAGATGGAAACAAGGAATAATGTGGATTTTTGAGTGCATTAGCATGTCCTCCACTCTTTCAAAACCTCCTTTGCAATGACAGAAGAAATATAAAAATGATAATGAATTTATTTTGTAGTTGGAGAATCATGAGAGGTCCTATTAGAAGAAAAATTTTGAAGTACATCACAGAGATTTAAAACATGTCATTGAATTCATAGGGAAACTGGAATTTAGAATCTTATTCCATTGCAAAAATAGGAGGAGCCCTTGAAGCTGCCAGTTCTAGTTTTATCCACAGAGCCTCAGAAAAACCATACTTCAGAGTTATCAGGGGCCGGGAATGGTGATGGGTGGGCAGTGGAGAGTGGAATA